ACCCCCGCCGGTGCAGGGCTGCCCGGGAGCAGCTGGCGCGGGGTTTGCAAAGCGCAACTCGCAATGCGGCGCAGCACTGGAGGTCGGGCGGCACGAGGCTGGCTCTGCGAGGAGGAATGCGCCTGGCTCTCGCTGCGTGTCTGGACACACTGGGGGTGATCGGGTGAGACACTGGCTTGAGGCAGCTGCTTCTCCAGCCCTCGTGGCTGCGGAAAGGGGTGTTTTCAGGGCTCTGATAAGAACATGGGGGGGGGATTTCTTTCCTGATAGGGACATCTGGAGATGGTAGGGACAGCAGCAAAGACTCTCATAGGTGGAAAGGGACCATTACGAACCACACCAAGTCAACCTGGGGAACTCACTGCCTTAGGATACTCAATCGGGGCATGTCTAGACTACATGGCTCCGTTGACGGAGCCACGCAGATTAGGGTTGTAGGCAAAGGGAAATGAAGTGGCAATTTAAATAATCACTGCTTCATTTAAATTAAACTGGCTGCCACGCTGAGCCGATCAGCTGTTTGGCGGCACAGCGCTGTAGTCTGGATGTGCCGCGGTTGACATCAAAGGCATTTGTCGACCGCCCTGGTATGCCCCGTGGGATGAGGCGTGCCCTCAGTGTGACTCAGGAAGGGGTTAGATGGCACTTTAATGAAAGGCACGTCTTCGGTTAGGTTCGTAAGGAAATACTTTAACAGAGCAAATCCGGCTACAGGAACCGGGAATCCTCATGCTTCAGGGCATAACTTGAGTCCTCGTGACTGAGGTCAGGAAGGAATTCCTCAGCTGCTACAAGCCGGTGAAATCAGGCGCTGTACAGGGATTTCCTGTGCACTGCTCCATTGCAGACACAGTCAAACCCACGGACCCCTCGTGGGACCCGTTGTGCTAGGGCGCGGGCTCCGTGGGGGGGGGTCCCCTCTCGCTTTCGCAAGTGGGAAAGGCAAAGCGAAGGTTAATGGGGGCAGGGCAGGCCCCAGAGCCCCTGGCATGGGGAGCTGGCCCTCCAGCCAGCCTGCCAGCCGGGAGCTGGTCTGGGCCAGGGGCCGTGGTTCCTCCGTTCGCCTAGCCGCGCTGGGAAAGCCTGATCTCCTGGGGAAAGAGGGTGCTGGAGACAGCCGAGGGCCGTGTTTCCTGCCGTGGGGGTGGGGCAGGCAGGGACGGGGCCCTCCAGCCAGCCTGCCAGCCGGGAGCTGGTCTGGGCCAGGGGCCGTGGTTCCTCCGTTCGCCTAGCCGCGCTGGGAAAGCCTGATCTCCTGGGGAAAGAGGGTGCTGGAGACAGCCGAGGGCCGTGTTTCCTGCCGTGGGGGTGGGGCAGGCAGGGACGGGATCTCCCCCCCGTGCCATGGGACTGGCTGTGGGGCCGTCGCCGAGGGCTCCGTGGGGCCGCAGAAGCCAGGAATGAGCCCTGGGCACTGCTGCCGGAGCTGTGTGTGCAGCCGTTATTGGAATTGATTTTGGTCGGGAGCTGAGCGACCTGGCAGGGAGCGGGATGAGGCCATCCCCAGCCGCTCTGCGCCATGTTAGCGCCGGCGAGCCTCTCCGGCAGGGAGCTGCTGTGTGTGCTGGGAGCGAGGACCAGGCCGGGCCAGGCGCAACTCCTAGCGTGTGGCCTAGTGGTGAGAGCAGGGCACTGAGAGTAAATCCACGCTGCTATGTACATCTGGGCTCACCATCACTGGCTGCAGGTTGCTGTGCGTTGCAACTGTGGCCGTCACGCACTGATAGACCGCCTGTCCCCCGGTCACCCCCCCTGCTCCT